CAGCCAGCTATGCTTGTGGATTTCAACTCCCAGAATTCCTCAGCCAGCTATGCTTGTGGATTTCAACTCCCAGAATTCCTCTGCCAGCTATGCTGGCTGAGGAATTCTGGGAGTTGAAATCCACAAGTCTTAAAGTTGCCAAGTTTGAGGACCCCTGCCTCACACTAACAACCTTGTGGTGTAGACAGGGCTAAGAAAGAAAGAAAGCCTTAATTTATTCAATGAACCTATTTGGCTGATGATAAACTTGAACTTCGGAAGGAAGTTAGTGGATTTAAGCCCTAATGATATAATCTTCAGGGGTCTTCAAACTTGACAGCTTTAAGACTTGTGGACTTCAACTCCCAGAATTCCTCCTCTGTTCATGTTAACTTAGGAATTCTGGGAGTTGAAGTCCACAAGTCTTAAAGCTGTCAAGTTTGAAAACCTTTGATCATTCTAAATGAACGTTGTAAACAGTAAAGCAATAGTCTATAAGTTTGACCAGGGTAGAGAAATGACTTTTGGTCATTGGTTATTTTAAAACATCATTTCCAAAATCCATTAATAATCCAGCTTTATTCTTTTTACCAGAACCTCCCCACTTTTCCCTCTATGACCATACAGGCTCTCTTGCTAACAATAAGGACTAGTAACTCAGTGTCAATACTCGTGACTTCTCAATTCTTAAAAACGACAGATTGTGAAATTGGCAAGTGTGGAAAATCAGAGGAGGCTGGAAAAACCTTTGGCAATTGCCTTGCTTTCTGTCTGAATCCTAATGATTAGATGATAATTGAGGTCCAATTCCTTTCTCTCCTTCCCAGCGATTCCCTCTCTGGCAATATTAAAGAGCCTGGCAATTCCTGCCATTTTTAAGCCTTCATGGGCAGGAACCCAGCTTGTCCTTTCCGGGAGAAGGTCACCATCTGCATACATCCATCAAGCCAGGGGGCTCAGATGCAAGGGCTCAAGTTTCTCACAGACATCCATCCCTTGGGTGTGGATGAGAAGAGGAGAATATTCCCACTTGCTCATTTCTTATTTTAGAACTGTCTTTGGAATCAGGACTCTTAAATCTTCTCCTGCTGCTAAAGCAGTACTTTGAAATCCAGGCCAAGGGGACTCAACTGTACCAAAGACAACCCCTTCACAGCTGCCAGTTCATCAACCAGAGAACTGGACTGATTTATTTTATTTGTTTATTTTAGTTTGTCAAGCATGTATGAGAAAACAAGTGTAAGTATGAACATAACATATAAACATATGAGTATATACATAATAATTGAGTACAAATACATGGGAACAGTAGGACAGGGACGGTAAGCACACTGGTGCGCTTATGCACGCCCCCTTAGAGACCTCTTAGGAACGGTCCACGATAGACAGTTTAAGGATAAAGTTTTGGGGGTTTGAGGATGTTGAGGTGGCCGATCTCCCTGGGGCCACTTTGCTTTCAGTCACTTTCTTTTCCCTCTTCCAATAGGTGAGGCAAATTTGAGGCCATTCAGCATTGGTTGCACGCCTCTCATCTTTTTCAAGACCACTAGATTCAAATAAAACCAAATCTGCTGGAGAGGAAAACCACTACAGTGGATTACCCCACTTGGCTACTGAGGAAAGAAGGGAGATCATTTCTGCTTTTTTCTGTGAAGCCCTGGGTCACTTTTTCAAGACACCTTCCTGCCCTTTTCACCTCCTGCAACCCCGTCTTTATCCCTCTTAATCTAGGCTGATGGCCAAGCTCTGAAACTTCTTTAGCTGTTATGCAGAGAGGCTCTGCCATTCTGGTCCTCATCCCAGGATATCCTCATCCCCGAGGGTGGGGGGAGGGAGAAAGCTTTTGGGCCCAAATCACTGCCCACCCACTCATTTTGAACAAGCCCATCCTGGAAGCCAAGTCAACCTGTAGAGGAAGAATGCCTTCAGGGGGATCTAGGGCAGGAGGGATGGAGGCGGGGTGGAGGCATGGAACAAGAGCCAGGGCCAGCTGTCTCTGTTGACATTACAAGGACAAGGCTGGGTATGGATGAATAAATAGCATTTATTCATCGATGGCATGAATACCATTTGTTCATCAATGGCATAAATACCATTTGTTCATCAGTGCTAACGCTAATAACACACGACGAAGCAGGTCAGTGGGTAAAAAAAAAAAAATGGCAGAAAATTTCGCACCAGCCGAAAACGGATTTCCTAGCCGTGGGAAAAAGAAGAAGGGGAAAAAAAAAAAACGCCTGTCCCGCCGGAAGGGAAGGGCGAAGGGGGGAGCTGGTTCTCCTCCCCGCTTACCTTTCTCATACTTGAGGTAGAGGAGGGAGACTATGAAGTAGCCCAAGTCGAAGACAGGGAAGACAGGCAGGCGGGCGAAGGCGGCGGCCAAATCGCCCAGATCCAGGGCCGCGATCAGGTCCATTGTTGGAAGGAGAACCGAGCGGGCGAGCGGCGAAAAGCGAGCCCCTCTGGAGCGCCCAGCGGCTGTAGTTGGTGCTACCGCTGTCTGGCAGAGCAGGGACGCAGCGGCCGCCCAAACCAAGGGAGGGAGAGAGCGGGATGGAGACGCCCCGCCGCCTTCCTTACTTGGCCTGCGGCTTGGAAGCGCCTCCGGGGGCCGCTTCGGGCAGCTGAGCATGTGCAGAGTGCAATTCCTTTCCCTCCCGCCGGGAAGACGATCCCATCTCTCTCCGGCCTTGCCTTCGATCGCCGTAAGCTCCCCAAACCTAGGGACCTAGCGTCCCCGCCTCCCGCGGCACCTTACGCCGTTGCTAAACGAGGCCAATCTCGTTTCTATTTTACAAGCCCGTGCCAATACATCAACGGCAGTGTGCGCCTAATGGTTTTACCGGAAAGGAGGACAACGGCAGTCCAGGGAGGGCCGAATCTCAGAGATGAAATCCGGGACTCCGCAATTAAAACCTCCGCTCCCCAAAAGGAGCGAGAGTGGGACAACAGAACCAAATGCAACCAGTTACCAGGTTGATGGTACTTGCCGCGGCATTTTTAAAATAAAAATCATTTCATTAAAAGGCGGAAGGCAACGCTTGCCAATTCAGGCGAGGTTCTTCTGCGGCGATTCGGATTCTCTTTCGTTAAATCAGGATTAATAATATTTGTTCTGTACAAGTCAATTTACATACTCGTAGCCCCGCGTCGCGATT